ACCATTCCCTAGAGAAAATGGATGGAGGCAAGAATCTACTTTTAGTTCTTCATCTTATTAAATTTGAAGGTTTTAATCCATCAGTTTATATTAGGACATTTTTAGTCCTTCACCGTACTAGATTTGTAGGTTTTAACCCCTCACCTTATACTATGACACTTTTAACTCGACACTTTTAGCCCCTCACTTATTAAAATTGAAAAAAATAGCCCTCATTTTGTAACATTTTATTAGTTTTGTTAACTGATTATTAATTTTATTAATTGACTGTTAATTCTGTTAACTGACTGTTAGTTGACTATTAGCTGTCAAAAATTTTCTTTCAATTAATAGAATTAACAGAACTAACTTTATAATATTTTGTTAATTCTGTTAATTGACTATTAATTAATAAAAACTTACTTTCAGTTAACAGAATTAATAATCAGTATAAAGTAAGGGTTATTTTGTTCGATTTAAATAGGTGAGGGTTATTTTGTTCAATTTAAATAAGTGAGGGGTTAAAACTTATAAATTTAATAAAATAAAAGATTAAAAGTGTCACAGTAAAATAAGAGGTTAAAACCTTTAAATTTGATATGGTGAAGGGCTAAATATAAGTTTTTAGCATGAATGGAGGAGTTCTTGTAAGGCTCCATGGCTAATGGTAGAAAAGTTTCATGGTCCTTTCCTTTGTTCAATTAAATTGGGCGTGTAATCCACGCTCCAAAACTGCGAGTATCTAGTAGATTCCAGAATCCACGAAAGTTAGCCGTTACAACTTTCCAAATTAAACTTCCAGCTTGCCGACAGGTACATATAATGGGCCCACGTTGAGGAAAATCGTTCTTCCAGGAAAACGACATTACAAATAAGGCAGAAACCCCTCATAAGCCCCCAAACTTATCCCAAAATAATATTTAAGTTCCTAAACTAATAATAAAGCAGATAAACTCTCTCACTCCACAAATAATGCAAATAAGTCCTTCTCATAAATGGACAAAATGATATTTCATGTTTAATATCACCTTGAAAGCATGAATTCCCATAAATGAAAAGAGTTTATTTGTATCATTAGTGAAGTTAAAGAGTTTATCTGATTCATTTTTAGTTTAGAGATTTAAATGATATCTTGGGATAAGTTTGGGGGCTTAAGAAGGGTTTTTGCCTATAAATAAAAATATAGATAAAAATGAAAAACGACACAAATGCCCCCACCGCCGCGGTGGAGAAGCGTTAACATCAAG